ACGACGCCGGCGGGCGAGCCCGGTCCTGCTCAGCGATTCAAGGGCCGGGTTCCCCTTCCGCCATTTTTTAAAATGTCACTTTATTCGTAGACGAAGTACAGAGAAACTTCTAATACAGTTCGGGAAAACAAGCAACTGTCAGAAAAGGAGAGTGATATCTTTTTTGACTGATCAGTGAGGAAGTTCTAGAAATTAAACAAAATGTTTAGAACATTAACATTTCCTTGGGAAGAAAATGTCCAAATGAGAACAGGGAAGGGGGAAGGAGAAAGGAAAGAGAGGACAAAAAAAAGAATAGAAGAAAAAATGGAAACAAAGGTACTGTAAATAAGGAGGGGAAGAGGAGTCAGAGGAAGGTGGGAATGGGGGGAAAAAAGCAACAAGGTATATATCACGTCCAAAAAAATTAACATTTCGCAAGTATAAATTTTTATAAATAAAAACATTTCCAACTTGCTCTGAATTCTAAATATCTAGTTAATAAACAGATTTAGCGGGGTGTGATGTCACACGCCAGTAAAGGCAGCACTTGCGAGACTGAGGCAGGAGGTTCACTGAGAGTTCAAAGCCAGTCTGGGATACATAGTGAGGTCAGGCCAGTCTGAACAACATCTTGAGTCCCTGTCTCAAGAAACCAAAAATAATAAAAAGAAACTCAGCCGGCACTGGCACCGCGCTTTAAGGAATATCAAATTGGGTTTACTCATGTGTAGTGTTGAATATACTCATGAGCCGGGCGTGGTGGCGCACGCCTGTATTCCTAGCACTTGGGAGGCTGAGGCAGGAGGATCGCTGTGAGTTCGAGACCAGCCTGGGCTGCATAGTGAGTTCCAGGTCAGTCTCAACTACTCTGTCTCAAAAAACCCAAACAAAAACAAACAAAAAAACAAAACAAAGAATGTACTCATTAAACAATTCTTAAGACATGCACACGTTTTTCTAAAGTATGCTATAAAGCAGAAGATCTACAGCAGAAGATCATCTGTATAGACACATTTGCCCCACTTCCATCTTCGTGATTCCCAGAACTCCGAGGGACCTTGCAGCCCCAAAGCCCTGCCCTTAATATGTAACTACAAAACCAGGTCCAGGAACAAGTCAGTGGGCGGCTGAGCACTGCTGTGGAAAACCAGCCCTAGGTCTGGTCCACGGCCTAAGTGCTCCCCCCAGACTGGCCCCTCCCACAGCGCTCGCGTCAGGGCCTAGCAGGTGGAGCCACTCCTCTTGAGCTGCTCCTGTGACAGCTCCTTACAGTTGAGCTGCCATCTTCCCACAATGCAGCACTGTCAGCCAGAGAATCCTGGGCGGCTGCCACAGGACTCACGGGGACCCCAGATTCTGGGAGATTTTGACAGCTCCCAGGCCAGCAGGCCTCAGTTCCTTGACATCTTTACCTCCCGTGACGTGCCCTGGCGCCAGAGCCATGACCCTCCAGGGTCCACAACTGTGAAATCTTAAATTTCACCTCCCACCTGTCAGGCCCCTCCTAAACAGAAGCTGCTTTTCTGCCTTCACTTTCCTGGTACTCCATACAATACCTGGTTTTCGGTTTTCATATTTTTCCACGTTGAATAATTGATGGGTTCTGAGGTAAAAGAGAAAGATAAGCAGAAAGGAGACAGGCTGGGTGTGTGGGTGCGTGGCATAATACCAGCATTCTGGAAAGATGAAGCTGGAGGATCACAAGTTTGAGCCCAGCTTGGGCGACTTAGTGAGTTAGTGACAGACACCCTGTCTCAAAATTGTTTTAGAGGCTGAGGATATAACTCAGTAGGAAGGCTCTGAATTCAACCCCTGGCACAGGACAGAGACAAAGGGGATAATCCTAATTTTGAAATTGTATCATTATTATTATTTTTTTTTTTTTTGCTGTAGACATGGCCTCACTGTGCCGTTCAGGCTGGCCTTGAACTCACTATGTAGCCCAGGCTGGCCTTGAACTTGCAGTGACCCTCCTGCCTCGGCCTCCTGAGTGTTCGGATTTACAGATGTGCGCAACCATGCCCCTCAAAAATTGTACTTTTTTTTTTTTTTGGTACCGGGGATTGAACTCGGGTCCTTGCACTTGCAAGGCAGGCCGCCGAACCACTTAGCTAAATCTCCGGCCCGAAAATTGAACTTTTAAGAAGACCCCCCAAACCATATGATTGTCTCAATAGATGCAGAAAAAATATTCGACAAAATCCAACACCCGTTCATGATTAAAAACCCTACAGAAAATTGGAATAGATGGTCTTTATCTCAACCTGATTTTTAATTTTTTTTTTTTTTTTTTTTTTTTTTTTTATACCGGGGATAGAACTTAGGTCCCTCTGCTTGCAAGGCAGGCGGTGGAACCACTGAACTAAATCCCCAGCAATCTCAACCTGATTAAGGCTATCTATGAAAAACCAACAGCCGGCATATACTAAATTGTCAAAAAATGAAAACTTTCACGCTAAAATCAGGACCAAGACAAGTTGTTCACTATCACCACTCCTGTTCAATATAGTTCTGGAAACAGCCACAGCAATTAGACAAAAGAAATAAATAAAAGAAATAAAGACAGGAAAGGAAGAAGTTAAAGTGTCATTATTCACTGACAATATGATATTGTACATAAAAGACCCAAAAATCTCTGTCAAAAGACTTCTAGACTTGACAGATTTAATAGAGTAGCTGAATACAAGGTCAACACTCAAAAATCAATAGCTTTCTTATAGACAAATAACAGATTACAGGCTCATTGAGAGAGAAATTAGGGAAACAATTCCTTTCACAGTAGCACCCAAAAAATTCAAATATCTGGGAATCAATCTAATGAAGGAAGCAAAAGATCTCTGCATTGAAAACTGCAGCACCCTGAAAAAAGAGATTGAAAAGAATATAAGAAAATGGAAAGAAGATGGGCATGGTGGTGCACACCTGTAATCCCAGCACTCCGAAAAAAAAAAAAAAAAAAAAAAAAAAAAAAAAAAAAAAAAAAAAAACCAGAAACACTAAACTACTTGCTGGAAGAGAAGTTAGATGGAACTCTTGAAAACATTGGCATAGGTGAAGATTTTATGAACAAATCCTCAGCATGGGAACTACCACAAAGAATCAACAACTGGGATCTCACCTTATTAAAAAGTTTTTGCACTGCAAGAGAAACCACCAACAGAGCTAAGAGACAACTTACAATGTGGGAAAAAATTTTTTTTTTCCAGCTACTACTCAGACAAAGGACTA